TCGCAAACTGAAATACTTCGGCCATGTTAAATGCTTCAGCGGCTTGGAGAGAACGGTACTGAGGGATATGGTTCCTGCAAGAAGAGACAGAAGCCAAACAGCAAACAGTGGTCGCGGGATATGAAAGACACTCTGGTCGTGAAAGCTCACAAGGTATCGTTTCTCGTAAACTGAAATACTTCAGCCATGTCAAATACCCCAGTGGCTTGAAGACAACAGTACTGGGTGATATGGTTTCCTAAGAAGCAGAGGCCGACTAGCACAGGAGTGGACGCGGGATATCAAAGACACTCTGGTCATGAAACTATATGAGGTGGGAATGTTGACAAGGGAGTGAGTGGCTTTCCGGCGTAACCTGATAAGAGCGACATTTTGCAAAGGGCCTGCTATATGATTATTATAAATAATTTCTTTTAAAAAAAAGTATAAGAACGATCAAGTGCCATGGCAAAAGTAATTTTAATTCAGTAAGTAACAAATATATAAATGAATTATATTCGAAAACATAAGTATAATAAAAGATCAGTTCTCACGCTCAGCGATATATTTGAGCTAAGGGGTGAGGCCCATATTTAACTAACTAACGGGGATGTCCGTGGTGAAGTCGTCTGAAGATGTGTTTTTACCAATATCCATATGGATCGTGTCTGGAATTAAGCCACGTTCTAGTCAGGAGGCTAGCCCGTCCGTGGAGAGAGACCGAGCCAGATTAGATAAAACCCAGTGCAATAAAACTGATTCTTTCATTTTTTAACTTGTATTTTATTTATATCTGACCTTCTTCTTCTTCTTCTTCTTCTTCTTCTTCTTCTTCTTCTTCTTCTTCTTCTTCTTCTTCTTCTTCTTCTTCTTCTTCTTCTTCTTCTTCTTCTTCGTCATCATCTTTTTCTTCTTCTTCTTGTTCTTCTTCTCCTCCTTCTTCTTCTTCTCTTCTTTCTTCTACTCCTTGCATGCCTCGCGGCGTCAGGGCAAGACCAATGGCAGTGTTGTTAAATGAGCTACTATTTGACCAAACAGCACTAAATATGTAATACGATGTAAGTCAGTCAGACCAGTGGCATATATTTCCTAGGAAATTGTTTGGTACCAATTTGAGGATCATTCAACATGTGACTGGGCCATTTAAAGAAAGAAAAGACGACCTCGAAGTTTGAACACATGACCTTTAGGACGGCAGGCAAGTGTACGAGCCACGGCACTACAGCCGTTGTCAGATAAATAAGGATTAGCAAGCCTAATTCATCCTTTTGCAAACTAATTTCATCCCTTAGCCTTCATCCTGTTGTCAATCATCGAAATCTTTTCGCTGATTGAACTTTTCTACGAAATATTGTTTTGATCTGCTGTTAATAAAAATGACCCCCGTGTGGGTCCCGGGGTCCCATTGTGGGGAAAACAAGAATAGACTAGCTGCCTCCCCAAAAGCATGTTGTAAGAGTCGACTAACTAGGGAGCTTCCTTTGAAGTCGGAGTGCATCTGCCTGAGAGGCAAGGAACCAGCAGTCTACATTCAATTGAATCAGATCTGTAAAACTGATGCACACGCAACACTCAGGTTCTGGAGCAGGACTGCAGTCCAGAAGTGGACGAACAACCAGAACTTTACGCCAGAGCGTACAGCTGGTGAACGTGAAGAAGAAGAAGAATAAAAATGAAATCTGATTAATGACGTTGTTGGAACTGAACATTTTATTGCAAACATGTAATAAGAAACATGACATACACATGTAACAAAATTTCTTGGGTTCAAATCTACACTAGGCGATTTAGGAGGGAAGCCATGCCAGTTGTTCACATGTTCTATTATAATGCGGAAGCACAAATAGATTACCACGGTCTAAAAAAAATAGTTGTGCAACGGAAGATGATCGGAGGATCTGACCAACACACATATAAGCAGACTGCTACTGGAATTATAACAACTGGAGCACTGTGATGGCTGATGAAGACTGGGATGAAGCTTATGTGGGAATGTTCCGAGTACAATGATGTCAGTTCTGAAATAAATTCATCTTAACCCAGCCAAACTGGTACCAGAAATATACTAGAGGTTAAAGGTGGTCTGTGTGATGAGAATCGCATTTGTGCCCATTGGTCTATGAAAACAAAAGTCTAGCCATTGCCAGTCCAAAGCCGGGATGAGAAAGGAGGAGGAGGTTCGGGCACAGGGCCGTCAATCCCACCTTGTGAAAACAGTTCTACTGTAGAAACTGATAAATGGAGGATTCTCAAAGGACACGGATGAATATTATTCAGAGGCACAGGAAGTGAGTCTACAATAAGTTCAACCGGATTTCAATTTTTGTACGACTAATCAAGGAAATGTTCTTGAAGAAAAAAGTTATCTGGGGAAAAGTGAATTTCGTTTGCAAAAGGATTCATTTGATTGGCAAAAGAGTGAACTTATTTGCAGCAGAGCAAATTTTATTTGTCAATATTATATGTAACATAGTCGTTTGGCAAAAATCTTTAAAAATATCTTAAATCTTATTTTCTTATTTAAAAAAAAAAAAACATTACTAAATTTACTGCATGTAGGACAGAGAGATCTTGAGCCTGAATATTTAGGGCTGCGTGGCTCTCCACCCCCGAATAAAGCCACCACTTTACCAAAGATTCGAACCTGGGTCTTTTAGCGTTCTTAGCCGCTCGGCGTGATGCTTCTCCATTTTTTAAAATAAAAACTATAAATATATACATAGGTATAAACAAATTCACATATTTTTTCGTTGTGTTAATTTGTATATTATTTTGATCGATACTGATAATACTGTATGT